GACGGAGACATGAAAGAGATCCAAAACTATCATAGCGGAGCACTGTTCTGTGTGGGATATTAAAAAAGCATCTTACCAGCATGCCAGGCCTTAGAAGCGGCTATGCCGAGAATGCAGCCCTAAGGAGTGGCGTTTAAGCAGGAGTCGGTGGGCGGAGCTTAGGCAGGAGTCAGTGGGCGGCGGTACCCATGCCCTCAGCGGCCATCGCCCCCAAATTACAGAGGGTGTAAATCAGTGAGGCTGTTATTCTTCTACGGATAACGCTGAAATGCTGACATTTTTGAAAAAGTAAATCAGTTGCAAACACCAGTACTTAACTCTTACAGGTAACGAAGTACTTGCATACACCTCGCTCCTGAGTTCATGAGCAACAGGGTGGAGAAATATTCCTTAGCCATCCTAGGTAACCGCCCCAGCTGGGGCCAAGGTCCGGCAGGCGTTAACTGCTGGGGGTGCCCATTTACAGGGAGAACTGCACCCTGCCCCCCGCAAACCCAGCCCAGATAGCTTATCCCTCTTGCTCATCCAGATCTGTGAGGCTGGACAAAGGGCCCGGATAGGAAGGACCCTGGTTCTCTTTCCAGAAGGTTAGGTGTTCAGACAAGAGAGCGGTGGGATTTTGAAGAAATAAAGTGATTCCTCCAACCTTTCCCATGCACACATACAGCTTTCCAGATATGACAAAGTCGGGGAAGGAGGCACTTCGTTGTGGAAATGAAAAAACAAACACATAAATACAACAGTCCAAGTTGGCAAATAGAGATGGAGTCCCAACTCTTCCAGCTGAGAACGTGGTTACAGTACTAAGGCTCCTGGGACCCATTTTGGCGGTTTCCAAGAGCTATTAATTTGCCTTAATACACTGAAAGAGAAGGTGAGATGAATTAAAAGTGAGACGGTAATTTTGAAGGAGGATGTACGCCTTCATACCCAGCACCAGCGCCCACCATGTATGGCTCAAGGTGGCTGCCTGATAAACACCCCATGAGAACCTACAGCTGGCACTGAGGTCACAACTATGCTTGGACTTCGCGTGTTGACCCAGGATGTGACATAGTATGAGGACATGGCTTAGATTAGCAACTTTAAGAAGAGGGGTTTAGGGAGATCTAGACTCAATTTCAAACAGGAATTTAAAAGTTTAGCCATTTATTCAATATCCTGGGATAAACCATAACAGAAAAGAATATAAAAAAGGAATGTCTATATGTGTATAACTGAGTCACTTTGCTGTACAGCAGAGATTGACACAACCTTGTAAATCAACTACACTTCAATTTTTTAAAAAATTCTTTTTAACTGAAGCCATCTTCTGGCTATTATGAGTGACTCTAGGGCTTCCCTGGTGGCACAGTGGTTGAGAGCCCGTCTGCCGATGCGGGGGACACAGGTTTGTGCCCCGGTCCGGGAAGATCCCACATGCCGCGGAGCGGCTGGGCCCGTGAGCCATGGCCGCTGAGCCTGCGCGTCCGGAGCCTGTGCTCCGCAACGGGAGACGCCACAACAGTGAGAGGCCCGCGTACTAAAAAAAAAAAAAAAAAAAAAAAGAGTGACTCTATACTTCAAAGCAATTATGAACTTTAAAGGCAGCCTAGTAAAACATGCCCTGGCAAGTACCAAATTTATTTCTGACCCAAACCTCTCCACTGTCACCCACCTGGCACTCTCCCCCAAATATAAAGGTATTACCTCTCTTTTTTTTAAGGTACCTAGATTCTATATCTTTTTTTTTTTGCTGGATTTTAGTTCCCCGACCAGGGATCAAACCCGGACCCTCGGGGTGAGAGCGCACAGTCCTAACCACTGGAGGGCCAGGGAATTCCCTAAAGTACCTAGATTCTGAAACACACACACCTTCCTTCAGCCAAAACTGTTACTTTTGGCTGACACCTGGTGTCACCTGACACCGGGACCCTTCCCCAAACTTTGCCATCCCCTATAACAAACCCCAGAGATAATCCTCCTGACAGCACGGGCTTTCCGGAGAGCTACTGTGACAACATCGGCTCAGAACGCCACCTCCAACCACCACGCCACCCTCCTACAGCCAGTAAGCCAAGACACACAAAGAGGACGGAATAAGAGTCCTCAATGCTCTTTAGGCCTCTAGGGAAGGAGCAGAGCAACTACCTGCCTGGAGGACCAGAGTGCAAAAGGACAGGAACTTTCCAACCCAAGCAAGACTTGGGGTGGGAAAACTGCTCTGGGCATTTTCCAGACATCTCTGCAGGGGATACTGGTCACTGTCTGTCCCCCCCCCCCCCCAAAATCAACCTGAGAGTGACTCTGCAGTGACTTAGATCCCGAACCACATGGAACATTAGGAAAAGTCATGTCAAATATCAGAGTGACATCTAGAATGATCGCGAGGAGGCTCACTTCTCAGTGGAGGAACCAAAGGCCAGGAACCAAAGGCCCCCTTGGCTAGGATCACAGGGGGACTCTGCTGTTGCAATGCTTTTGGAGGCCAGCTGGGCAGAAGGCTGGCTGGTTATTTTTAAACTAAGAAAACTGAATGAGAAGGTATCAAATTTGAATTCTTGTGATCTCCTGAGGTCCTTTCCAGCTCCAAGATGCTACCAAAGAACACTGCATATGCACATACATATGCACACGCTTCTTTATAAAAACGTATATACGGATGTGTGAATATATATAAATGAGTACTATATTCACACTTCCAAACACAAAGCACTTGAAATGCGCACTGCTGAGGCGATTCAGAGGCCCACGAGGCTGGAACACAGATGCAACTGGCAGATCTGAGCAGAGCCACCAGCCCTCCTGAGACTACAGTCACCTTAAAACCAACCTGCAGCTGCTTGTGTAGGTGTGAACCCTGCCAAGCCCCAAAGCAGGACTGCAGACGCCTTTCTTCCAGTGACTCTAGTCACAAGTGTCCCAAACTCAGGAAGGCGGGCTGGAACAAAGGAGGGGAAGAAAAGAAAAGCCCAAACCTCTGTCCAGGCACCCAGCTCTGCCAGAGCCAGGGATCGGGGCAGAGCAGCATCCTTCTCCTCTTGCCCTGTCCCTCCAAGAGTCAAAAAGGTCACCCTCTTCCCGCTCTGCCATCACCTCCTTGCTCAGGGCCTCTCCTCTTCAAGTTGACTGCACGGACATCAAGTTGGTAACTGGAGAAACTAAAAAGGCCTCTAGAAAGGAGAGCTGTGCTCTAATCCTAACCAAGCCAAACAAATTTGAGGGAGCCTATCTCAGCCCTGAACAATAACAGCAAAAAGAATCTGCGGTTTGGGGCGGGGGGGGGGGGGGAGGGGGTACGAAAATTTATTTATTAAGAAAGATCTGTGATGGTGTGCCTATCATGGGAAACAGTTTGGTGATTTTCTCCAATCAAAGACAAGGAAGTTCTGATCCTGAGTCAAGGCTCAGGATGTGGGTAGCTAAACTGGGGAGAGGGTGGGGGGGAGGTGGGCGGTAGGGGGTGTGTCTCTCGGAGTAAAAACCCACCAAGTCCCTCAGGTCCTGACAATGAACGGGGGTGGGTCGTACCAGCTTCCCACTTGCCTCTCTAGAGAATGAGATCCTACCTCTAACACTTGGATCTGAGTTGTTTACAGGTGCAGTGCTGTCATGCCACGGAACCCCGCACAAACCTCAGCTTTCCCCTCCTCAACTTCACAGCCCCAGAAGTGCCCAGCCTTCCCTAACTGTGCCGCCAGAGCCGGGTGCAGACAGCGGCGTCCGCCCTGGGCCGGGCCTGGCAGTCAATGTCAGGAGTACCCGGCCACAGACCTCGACTCCGGCATTTCTGAAAACCTTATGCGTCTCCAGGTTACCGCAGTGCCCAAGCGCCCAGCACCCTGTTGGCGCTACAAACGCGGCCCGGCAATGCAAGCGCCACCTCTTCCCTCTTCCGCGCGGCAGCTACGAAACCACGGCATTGTGTGTGACAGCGAGTGTGTGAGCGAACGTCCCCGGGCTCACACACCCCCTTCCACCCGGTCTGCTCACGGCGCCCGGTCTGTGCGCGCGGCGAGCGCATCGCGAGCCGGTGCCCCCATCAAGAGGCCTCACCGCCAGGCCTCTGGCCACCCGGCCTCGGACCTGACCTCGGGAAGCTGGGGGTAACGTCCACGCCCCCATTCTCGGCCGCGGGGGCGACCGGCGAGAGCAGCCCTGGGAGCCGGGCAAAGGCGAGGCAAGGGCCGAGGGGACGCGAAAGGGCGACTGGAGGGCGCCGCGCCCCCAAGTTTGCCAGCCGCGGGCCGGGAGGGGGCCAGGAGGGGGCCGGGGCGGCTCGCGACTCGGCAGGAAGTTCCCAGGGCTGCACTGAGCATGCTCTCGGGGATTATGTGCGCGGGTGTGGGCTCTGCGCTCCCCGCAGCCTCTCCGGCCAGGCAGCCTCCGGAGCGCGCCAGCGGGATCGTGGGCCCACGGAGGTCCCTTAAGGGTGGGGGGCACCCCCGGGCTTCCCTGGTCCCCAAGACCAGAGCGCCCGCCCGCCGCATCCCCCTTCCCCCGGGGCCGGGAGCCAGCCTCCCTTGTTGTTCCTCCCCACTGGCCGGTGGCTGAGTCCGCCCTGCGCGCCCAGGTCCCGGGGACCCCAGCCCGGCCCACACCCGCAGCGTGACCCCACCAGGCTCCTCCGCGGTCCGAGCGCCCCTCTACCATCCCTGGCCGCTCGCCTCCAGCCCGCGCAACCAAAGCCTCCCCCGGACAGTCCCTTGAAAAGCCCAAACCCCCCACTTCCCAGGGGCCATGGGGGCCTGCAGTCTCCCCTGAGAAGGGGTTGCCCCGGGTAGGTGGGCGCCTCCAGGCGCGTCCCCGGCTGCACTCCTGGCTGTCTCAGAGCGTCCGGGGCACCCACGCAGGAGGCGGAGGGGCGGCGGGCGGAAGCCCCCAGCCGCGCAGCCCACGGAGCAGACTCTCCCCCCGCCTCCCGCGCCCAGCTCCCCGCGCCCTCCGCGGTCCCCTCTACGTTCATCTCCCCGTGGAGATGGAAAGCTGCGACGCGATCGCCCCGACCCACTGGCTCTCACCTCCTTGTTGAGGAGCAGCAGCAGCAGCAGCCGGGAGTGCCTGCCAGCTGCCGTCCCCGGGGGGACCCAAGGCTCCGCGGGGCACGGGGTCGCGGCACCCCGAGCCTGCGGCGGGGCTACCTGGGCTGGATCGAGCCCGGGGCCGCCGCGGCAGCCGCGGGAGCCGCAGGGCCGCCGCCGAGCGGGCCGCGGCAGGGACGGTCTGCAAACTCTCAGCCCTGGCGGGGCCGCGTACGGCGCGTCCACACTCGGCCTGGACACTGCAGAGACGCTCCTCGGGGGCTCAGCTGATCGGGGGGGGGGGGTCTGGCTTCAAATTCTTCCTACCCTCCCCTCTCGACCTCTCCAACTTCTCCCCGCTTCTGGGCTCGCAGCTCTCTAAGGCAGGGATTCCGGCCGGGGACGTTCGGCAAACTCCCCGCCCTCCCCGCGGAGCTCTCAGCCAATTCGGAACGCCCCAGCCTCTCAGGGGCCGTCTGCAAACTACCAACCCTGTCGGAGAGGACTTTACCAACCTCTCAATTCCGCAACCCGAAGGCAGCAAGGGAGACACTTCGCGGCCACAAATACTGTTCTAGCAAGGTCAGGGGCAAATGTGCAAATGCTGATGTGACAATGCATCCTCCAGAGAGGTGCAGTCCAGGCCTCTCAGCACCAGGGGCCTTCCAGCAGTTAAGCTCAGTGACGGGAGATTATGGACTCAACCATCTACCGGACGGGCAGCTTGAATCAATGCCCTGAGCCTCAGTTTCCATCTTTGTAGAATGCGCTTTATGAAGCAGTATATGTTTCTGCCACTTGGTTGCTGTGACCTTGAGCAACCCGCTTAACCATTTGAATTCAACTTCTTTATCTACGAACATAATAAATGGGTCTTCTTGAGGTTATTCTGAAGATGAAATAAAATATATGTAAAGTACTTAGCAATAACCTGGCACATAGTAGGCACTCAACAAATGAATTCCATTTCTTTTTCTCTTTCCCACTCCCGCCCCCGGATTTTATGAACACTCTGGACTGGCTAGCTGAACACTGTACTGTTGTAAATTCAGAAAGAAATAAAACACATCCCATACCCTGAAGGCACCACAAAGAACATTGACTGACACCACATATTAAATCCAACCAAGCCCCAGGAGACAGAATGCTGTACAACGCTAAGCATTACAGATCCTTGTTAAGTATAGTATCTGGAATGGAATGAGAGTGACCTGGTGAATTACCTAGGGGTGGAAATTACAAGGTTCATAACCCCATCAAGTTCCAAGCCCTGTAACCAGCCACTACATCAAGTCACTGTATGAAGGTTTATGTTCAAATTTCCCTTACCTTCCCTGCAGAATTTCTCCACCCCCATTTCACTGTCCCCCCTGGGGTCTTCTTTCTTAAACTCAGATCACCCTACTCTGCTGCCCACCCTTCCGAGCAGAGGCGTTTAAAACCTGAAGATCATGGAATTCTTAGACCCTAGAAATGACTTAGTCCAAGTCCTTCACTTTGTAAGTAAGCTCTCAGGGCCACCCAGCTGGTTGGGGAGGTCTCCCGTCTCCAGGATCTTAGTAGAGAACACACCCTGTAGCACCTCTTCCACGGAGTTACTCTAGGCTCTAGGCACATTAGGTCAGTCCTACCTTTAACTCCAAGCTGGAGGCAATGGCTCTAACAATTCCTGACCAGATGAGCCCCAAATTATCAGCCACTTATATCCTCAGCTGTCAGGAAGTGTCCAGGTAACGATCAAGAACCGCAAGGAGATGTGCATGGACAGGATGATTCCTCTTAATAAGACTTTTATGTGAAATGCCAGGAATGTTGGGAGGCACGTATTTCCCTCAGTCCCTTGGAAGAAAAATAACATCTCTCTCCCTCTTTGGGCACTGGGAGGGAAATAGAAGAATGGTGACATCTGGTGGCCAGGACTTTCTGTGCTTTGGATATGGATGGTACAGATTCTGATCCTAATAGATTCGCTTTGAAGCCAAGTTCCTGCGGGTGGTTAATAATTGTACCACCTGGTTGCCTAGAGATTTCTGAAAGACATCAATCATTTAAACTCTGCGGACCCACTGCTATAGAGGATATTACAGATGGCTATTATTTCAGGATATTTTTTATACAGTTGTGTATATAGAGAAATAAAGTATAAGGATGTGATATTCATATGTACACACATCATATCTATTTATATAATATATATTTGTATTACACAGATTCTATTTATTTGTATGAATAATGTACTTGCAATGCCTTTCAGGGAAATTATACTATCCCAATTGTTTTTCTTACAGAGTTAAGTTTGTAAATTATAATAATTGCTAAAGGACACTGCTTGTAGAATAGAAGTAAAGATGCTTACTAGGATGGAGTTGTATATTTCATCACGTCCTATCAAGACAGAACTGATTACAAAATTACAGAGGAAGAAAATAACACAGTGGGGTTAAAATAGTGAAAGCCCTGGCAGCTGATGGTCAAGGCCAGGCTTACCTGGTGAACAGTGACTCATTTTCAGCACTTCCATCACTTGTGAACAATAATGTTAGGTTCAAGGAAGAAAGATGTTTGGGATTAATTCACAAAAATGCAACAGTGTCTGCTGGTGTTACTAAGTGTTCTTCATTTCTTTCCATGTTTGTCCCATGTACCATATTTCAGATAATTGCTCAGTTACAAACTTAGAAAACACAACTCTGTCCACACAGCCAAGTCCATTGTTTCTCAGCATCACTTATCAAGTTTTATGTGAATTATGTTAATCTTTATAACAACTCATGGAGCAGATTTTACTATACCCATTTTATAGAAGAAGAAGACAAGACTCTGAAAAGTTAGGTAACATGTCCACCAGAAGGCACGACTGAGTAGAGTCAGTCAGGATTAAATGGAAAGTTTTCTGGACTCCAGAGCCCAGAATATTTCTCCTATGCTGTGTTGCCTACCCCAGGAAGAAATGAAGATCAGAAACCACTCTGAAGATATGGGGATATATGTATATGTATAGCTGATTCACTCTGTTATAAAGCAGAAACTAACACACCATTGTAAAGCAATTATACTCCAATAAAGATGTTTAAAAAATAAAATGAACACTGAAAAAAATAAAAGAAACCACTATGAAAAGCACACTAAAGACTAAAGGGGAGGGCTTCCCTGGTGGCGCAGTGGTTGAGAGTCCGCCTGCCGATGCAGGGGACACAGGTTCGTGCCCCGGTCCGGGAAAATCCCACATGCCGCGGAGCAGCTGGGCCCGTGAGCCATGGCTGCTGAGCCTGCACGTCCGGAGCCTGTGCTCCGCGGCGGGAGAGGCCACAGCAGTGAGGGGCCCGCGTACCGCAAAAAAAAAAAAAAACTAAAACTAAAGGGGATACTTAAGTTACTACAGATAAACTACATTTCCTGACCTATTCAAATTGAAAATTATAAGCAGCAAAATAACTATTGTGTATGTAAACCTTGTAAAGCTGAGACCCATGTGATTCAGTCTTGGAGCAGCTCTCTGTAAAATAAACAAATGAATTTTTTCCTGCCCAGGACCTGATCTACCTTTAATGGCTTGGGAATTATCCAGTATGTAATCCTGAGTGACTCCTAACACTCCTACATTAATGATTGTTGTTCCATCACAGATAATTTTTAACTTTAACTTTTAAACTTAAACTCTTTAGTTTCCTTTGCTTATAAAGGAAGTTTCTGTATTTCAGATCCTATTAGTCACTTGCATTTTTAAAGGAAAGATGCCTTCTCTTGGAAGACAAGTTGGTCCCAGTATGAAGTCAAATGGCACTTGAGAATGTCAGTGTTCACAAACTGCATACCTTAAAATGATATAGGATATATATATATATATATATATATTTTTTTTTTTTTTTTTTTTTCTTGCGGTACGCGGGCCTCTCACTGTTGTGGCCCCTCCCGTTGCGGAGCACAGGCTCTGGACGCGCAGACTTAGCAGCCATGGCTCACGGGCCCAGCCGCTCCGCGGCATGTGGGATCCTCCCGGACCGGGGCACGAACCGGTGTCCCCTGCATCAGCAGGCGGACTCCCAACCACTGCGCCACCAGGGAAGCCCTAGGATCTTTTTAAAATAATCATAATGCTTAAGATGACATTATATGTAAAAACAGGGGAGTTAGGTTTCTTTCTATGTATGATTGTATTAATGGTGCTTTATTAGTTTCCAGTTGCTGCTGTAACAAATTACCACAAATTTGGTGGCTTAAAATAATACAAAGGTATGATCATATACAGTCCTGGAGGTCAGAAGTTCAAAACGAGTATTAAGGGGATAAAATCAAGGTGTCAGCAGAGTTGGTTCCTTCTGGAGGATCTAAGAGAGAATCTATTCCTTGCTTCTTCTAGCTTCTAGAGGCCGCAGCGTCCCTTAGCCACTGGCTACGCAACTCCAATCTCTGCTTCTGTCATCCCATCACTTTCTCACTACCTCTGTCTTAGAAGAACCCTGTGATTATATTTAGGGACCATTTAGATAATACAGGATGATCATCCCACCTAAAGATCCTTAATAGTCATAGCCGCAAAGTCCCTTTTGCCATATAAGGTAAGAGTCACAGGTTCCAGAGATTAGGCTGTGAACATCTTTGGAGGATCCTCACTCAGCTCACCACAGTCTGCCTCCTGGACCCCAAAGATTTACATGCATCCCACATCAAAATACATTCACCCTTTTCCAACACGCCCCAACATCTCAACTCATTACAGCATCAACTCAAAGTTCAGAATCTCTTCGAATATTATCAGTTCAACAGTCCCACATCACAGACATTTCCTCCATCAGACAAGAGGTTTCTGCGCAGACTTTCCCCGGATAAATCTATGAGGTGGCTGGCTGAGGAGTTTGATGAGCCACATGCGTAATCTCGTCAAAGACAAAATACTGAAATATACATACATTATTCCCAGGCTCTAGCAAAAAATTGTGCAGCCACATCCTTGGCTTTCTCTCCAGCGCATGCTTTCCTGACAGTAAATCTCCTACTTTTAGCCAAAATCTGGACAGGCTGAGAATTTCCAAAAGTCACTTAGTCCTGGTTCTATTTGCCTAATGGTACTTTTATCAATTTATCTCTTTCTTCTTGCATTTTACTACAAGCAGTAAGAATAAGCCATGTGACACCCTTCACCACTTTGCTTGGAAATCTCTTCAGTCAAATATCTAAGTTCATCACTGCCAAATTCTTCTTTCCGTGTAAATAGAGGACACAATTCACCTAACCTTTCTGCCACTAGATAGCAAGAATCCTCTTTCCTCCAATTTCTAATAACATATTCCTCATTTCCTCCCAAGCCCTCACCAGCAGTCTTTAATATCTATATTTCTACTAACAGTGTATTCAAGGCAATCTTAAACTTCTTCCATAATC